TAAAAAGCACACCATTGAGGCACGGCGCTCCTTAAGCCCATGAATCGTTCTCTTAAAAATATTCCTATATACGTATATATTTATGGAGTTCATCAACTTGAATTTTTTGGGGTGTGGATACCACCCGCAGCACTCGAATCAAATGAAATCTGACCAAGAAAAGGCTGGAAAAGACCAAAGTTCGAGATTGCAGATTAAAACATTCTAAAAAAACAAAGAACTAAACAATGGTTTTTCTTTGTTGATGGATTAGGCAGCCGATTATTGAATGGACCCCAAATGCAATGCCCCTGAAATGTTTAACGTTTAACAAAAGGGTTTAAACTCTTTTTTCGGATTTAGTCTAACATTTTTCGTAAAAAAGTGTTACCAAACCTCATAGAAAACTATTGGAACCAACCAGGTTCGCAGATTTTGATATTTGGTGTCTAAACCATTCTGTATCTATGTATCTTGTAGTAAATATACAACAAAATAATGTACAAATTTGTATCAGTGATATTATTTTATAATCAAAAATACATAATACAATCCTAATTATGATAAAAATTTATAATATTACATATAAATTTCCTATCATTAATGTTGGATTTTGCCATCATCCTTAACGATTCGGAAATACTATCTTTCAAACTCTTGGGAAAGGTTTAACAGTATCCCCTGTAGAATGTGGCTCTTATCTGTATTTGGGGGGTATTGAAGCAGTAATTTGTTTGAAATATTATTGATATATCTCTCTATATGGCCTTCTCACAGGCCTGGGCGCCACGGTCCTGTCATCACTGAATGATGCCTCCAATAGTACGCCAGGGGAACCACTTGCCTTTGCTTAAAAATACCTCGATTCCCGAGGACTTTCAAACCTCCTAAGCACTCCCGAGACGGTTCATATCCCCCTATTAGAGTAACTAAGGGCCATACTGGCCTATGCATGGCCCCACTGAGGGACGTCCACTGATATATCTAGCACATAAGTCAAGGAACCTTTTGGAGATCAGACATTATGAAAGTCTAACCCGAAATCTCTAAAAGAAGTTCCATTAAACACAATTTGATGTATGATTTTGTACAAAAACCTCTTGGGCTTCCCTCTTTATAAATATATATATATATAAATATATTTACTTAAATAGTAAACGTCTTATCAAGGTCGAAGAATTTGACAGGGAATATAATTTGGTTCAATTCTTCATAAACAAGCTCTAAAATATCAACCAAAAAAAAGAAAGAAACCATATTTCTTATAAAAATTGTCGATAGTTTCTTTAGATATATCCTCCATAAATTGTCTGAAATTCTATCTCTAAAATCTCTGCAAGAAAAAAAGTGTTTCTGCAGCATTTTCTATGGAATTTTGTAGCCCACCCTGGGACCGAGGGCTTGATCTGCGCGAATCTTTGAAAACTTTTTGCTTGCTTTGGCAATTTTTGTTTTCCCAAGAAAACAACACAAATTTGTTGTTATTATTCTTATTAATATGTACCATATTTTTTGGTTTCTTTGTGGCCGTCCCTCTCTCCCTCTCTCTCTCTCTCTCTCCATCTCCCTCTAAAAGGTCTTTTTTTTCTGTGTCCCTTTCGGTGCTGGGCTTTTTGCTGTGTGGCATGTTTCCCGTTGGCCCAAGACCCGCCCATGATCAAGTTTTTTTTTGTGTTGTTGCACGTTGCATGTTGCATGCTGGCTTGCAGTTTGCTTAGGGCGCACTTAAGTACCGTTATTTTAATAAACGCCATTTGCTCAGGGCCTTCTTTTTTTGGCTCAAATTCCCTTTGGGTTTGCAAAGAGGTCTTTAAAAATTTCGTTGTGGGGAAAGGCTTTCTTTTGAAGGAAGTGGAAAAGGTGCTGGTGGCAGAAATATAATATGTGCCTTTTTGAACAGGATACAGAAAGGGAGGACTGCCCCAAAGCACCCTGGGATTCCTGGCAGAAACCCCACCAACCGATGGGCGCTGCTGCATGACCTGAAACACGTGTCAGCGTTCCATAAATTGATCTTCAAGGGTATTGCATAGTTCAAACCTTTTCTGAAGCGTTTTTCTGTGGCAGAGGGCTGGGAGGGAGCAAGGCTTGGGGCAGGAAATGCCTCATAAACTATAGCTGTGTGTCTTTTTGCATAATACTATTTATTTACTCTTTCGATGTCGATGGAATAGAACTTTTGTTTGTTGTTTTTTTTGTTGCCTTTGTTTCGTTTCTTCTTTTGTTTTTGCATAAACATTTATGCAAATGTCGAATGCCTAATTGACAAACAAGAGCCAAGTGTTGCACCCTGCCCCCCAAAGCCCCTGCAAAAGCCATGACATTGACGAGGGGGCCAAACGTCGGATGACAATCAGCGATTGACGATCGTCCACGAGACAGAGACAGAGAGAGAGAGAGAGAGAGACAGCTCCACATTTGTTTGTGTTTCTGTGGGGGGGATTCTCTGATTCGGAACGACCTTGAGCGGTGCCCCAACCAGGTCGCCAGAGTTGAGTCAATTATCCAGATTTACGAGTGTTATAAAGTGATCTAATGAATCGGCTTTATGCGTGTTTCATTTGATGAACATTTGATGTTTTACAGTCGGTCTGGCCCTCGTTTTGTTGTTTGCTTTGAGTGAAAGTAATTTGTTGTTTGATTATCGTTTAGTATCTACGGGACACGCCTAGATATTTGGATGCTAAAAGCCACAGATTCTCCGACGTATTCTGGGAGAAAAGAAAGTTTAAATAAGGCTTTCGAGTTGATGATGCTGGACGTAAATATAGTTGTAGTCATCACAAGGTTTTAATGTCATGTTTAAGGCCAACAGCCGGCAATCAGGCAGACACACGTGAAGGCGAAGAGAAATTTATCAATGAGGCGTGTCCGCACTTGATTTTGGTAAGAAGAATCGATAATGGCTAATGGCTAATGGGGATGGGCCTCAAAATGAGTCTTGGAATTGGGGGGGATCGATAATGGAATAATTTGGGATAATAAGCGATGTTCAATTGATGGAAGATTTCCTTTAGATTGCAGATACATATCCATAGATGTCTTTGGCTCTTCTTCAAGTTAATCTGCGATCGTATCTTTCTGGTTTTCTTCGGCTCTGATCGAGGCAGGTCTCTAGCTTCCTCAACAGCTCTTCTCGGATCAGAGCTGCCCCTCTGGATGCCCCTCCTGCTGCCCCTCTTCTTGCCAGACAAATTGTTTTATCCATATACAGCTTGTACGAGTATCTGTGGCATCCTTTGAGGACCAATCGAGATATCATTATTTATATCGATTCGATCACAGCCCCAGATCGGGGGACTGTAATTCCAGGCCATTTACATGACTGCCACGGATGTGGCAGACAGCATTGACAGGCGGAATAAAGGCAATCTTCCATTTAATAACCAATTATCATTGATCAACTGCACGCCCCAGAACCCAGAACCAGATCGAGGGCTACAGAAGGAAGACCGCACTTCAGAGACACACAACAGAAAGAGAAACCAATAAAGACGGAGGGACAGAGAGACAGAAATGCACTGAACAATATCAATTACGAATTACATCTGATTATCCACGGAGTCTGGTCTGGACTGCAGTTCTTATTGCCTGGGAATCGGCCATGGTCATGGCCATGGCCAAGGTGATCCCCCGGCACCGGGGGCTCCTCTCTCTCTGTGTGTCTGATTAGCGCATAAACAAGTTAATGCCATTGACGATGACGATGCTGTGGGGCAGAGAGAGGCAGCTGGGGGGTGGGGCAGCCCCTGTACGTGGTGCAATGTTATTGCTTCTGATGTTTTGGGGGCTGGAAATCAAAAACTGTTGTCCAGAGGCCCCAGCGAAAGATGGAGAGCTGTTTGGCAGTCTCACGGCGTCGCTGGACTGATGACAACCACGACGGTGGCGGTGACGGTGGCGGCTCCAAAAGCTTTTGATCTTGACGTCGCTTCGGCCCCAATGGCTCTGCTGTGCTGTGTTTGGACCATGTTGAACTTTCTGCCGCCTTCCTAGAATATGTAGACCTCTGTTTGCCCAACACTTTGACGGCGAAGGCGGAGGCGGACCCGGAGGTGGATCCGCCGTATGCTAATGTTGTTTATGAAGCCCCAAAGTCAAACACCATGGTGTCTGTTGACTCTACAGAAATGCCAGAGAGACTTACAGCGAAAAAGGTGAATAGAGATGTTTCCACTTGGAAGTTGCAGCAGAAGAATGGTTTGTGGCCTGTCAGGGGAGTCGAGCAGAGCCATCGTGTGTTCATTAGCATGGGGATTCTGGCTGGCTGGCCTTTTTGTGGACAAACATTTAGCTCGGAAATGCTTTAAATGGAATGAATGGGCGATCCCTCAAGGGGTTAATTGGTATTCATGTGCTCCCAAACAGATCCAAGTGGCTTGGGATCCCAAAACACTAGACAGCGTACGAGTTTTGTTCTCTTAATGGTTGAATATCAATGGTTTTCCTTGCTCTAGGCATCATTGATTACTTTCGAGGATGAATTTCAACCTTTAGCATGACTGTACTTGAAACAGTGTGTACACAAATCTGCAAAACTCTGGAAATGCCGTAATATTCTTAAACACTAGAGAGTATACAAGTTTTATGTGAAGAAATCATCATTTAATGGATGCTTTTATCTCCTTTTATCTCTTAACACGACTGTACCTGAAACAGTGTGTACACAACTCTGCGCAACTCTAAAAAAACCGTTATATCTTACAGGGTGGTATGTGCAGGGTTGATTTTCGAAACGAAAAGACTTGGAAAACATTCTTTAAGCTTTATTTTTCAAAGATTCGCTACCGTAGCCGGTTGCCCAGTGTAATTTAGAGGTTTGTTTCGGGAAGTCTGGGGTAGGATTTAATTTGCGGGCATTAACGTCGACAATTGTCTGTGGGAGAGCCAGCAGCAGTAGCATCTCCTATGCAAATGAGTGGACAATTATGCTGATCAGCACTAATTGGGGGGACGACCGACGATTGCGACAGCCAGTGACCCACAGAGCGTGACTAACCCAGTTTCCCTTGTACTTGCAGGCTGCCCCGCGTCGACGAGCTCCCACTGCCTGCGGTGCAACAAGGCCGGCTGCATCAAGTGCCCCATGTACCTGGTCACCGACAGCCGCCAGTGCGTGGACCAATGCCCCGCCGGCTACCTGGACCAGTGGTCGGCGCACACGGAGTTCATGGGTCGCGTGTGTGTGCCCAACGGCTACTCCGGGCCCCTGATGGCCGCCCTGGCCGGCCTGCTTGGCGGCTTCCTGGTGTGCCTCTCCCTGCTGGCCGTGGCCGTGATGCTGGTGCGGCGCAAGCGGCGCAGGAAGTCCGTCAAGCAGAAGCTCATCAACGAGAACACCATGGACCGGGCGGACTTTATGCGGCAGCTGAACGAGATGCGACCCAATGCCGAGTACTTTCTGGCCATGCTGAACGACACGCGGCGCCAGATCCGGAAGCTCTACTTGTCCGGCGAGGTGGCGGCGGCCAATTCGTACCGGCCCATTGTCCGGGACCTGGCCAAGCTGCTGATTCTGCTGAATCGGCCCATCGAGCTGATTCCCACGCCGCCGCACGACTGGTCGCGGCTGCACGCCTGGTCGGAGCAGGCCCTGGAGCGGTACAAGCCGCAGGTGGGCCAACTGATTGACTTCTTCCAGGCCTCGCATGGCGGAGGCCTGCGTGGCGGCCACCAGGAGGTGCTCTATGCAGCACCCACCAAGAAGTCGCAGGCGAGCATCTTCAGGCACCAGCAGGTGACACCAGTGTCGTCGGCGCCCCATGGGGTGGCCGGCGACCTGCTGGCGGGCGATCGCAACAGCAGCGCCTCCGCCCAGCAGAAGCTGCATCTGTTCGGATCGCTGATCAGCCTGCACGAGTTCGAGGAGCCGCGCGCCTCGGACCCCTTCGGCAGCAGCTTCAACACGCTGAAGAGCGGCAATCTCATTTCGGATCTCAACGCCAGCTCGCTCTGGCTGGAGGATGAGTTCTACAAGCTGGGCTTTCGACCGCAGGACGAGATCACCACGGAGCTGTAGGGTGACCTGAGGGTGAGCTGCAGCCGCTCGAAACGTTAAGAAGTATTAAGCCTGGCTGACGGCGCTACACGGTCATGTCTAGCGCGTGTTTCAGCCGGGGGCAGGGGCATTTGCGTGCACATTCCGCCAGGCCATCATCACAAATCATCGAAATCATCGAACAAGCAAACTGAGACGCCATTTAGCAGCAGTCGCTAAATGTCCACGTTTAGTTTAGTTAAATCAGTTAAGCAAGCAAGAAAACTAGTCACGTAAAATCACAAAACACACAAAAAACAAAACAAAACACAAAACGATGCCTACACGAACACTGGGAGTAGGCGAATGGAAAAAGCAAATGGAAATCGCGTGGAAAATGAATTTAGTTTTTATAGATTTTACAAAAATCGCAAACTTCATGTAACGAACAATATTCAATATACATACTACTATAAAGATATAGATACCATTCAGATAAAGATACACATACAGATACCGATAATGTTTAAAGTAAAGATATTTAGCTGTAGATACTCGTAGTACGGAATACTTATAGCTATAGCTAGGGCCTACGCCCACATAGACAGAGATTATAATGCTTAGTGAATACAGAATGAAAAATAAATTCATGTGCCTTAAGAAAATAAAATGTTCAACAATTTGTATCAATATCCAGCAGGCGCCGCCAGGCCAGCGCTAAGGCTGCTCATACTTCCAGAGTATGTCGTCGGGCTCCAGCTTGACCGCATATGCGCCCTGTCATGTGGCCTCTTTCAAGGCCTCCAGTGCCTGCACGCTCTCGGCCGATCGTTTGCGTTCGTTGACGAGCCGCGACAACTCGCGGGCATCGTAGCCGATCAGCAGCTTCAGATCGCAGTCGAATTTATAGGCAAACCGCTTGCCGGAGACCTTGGAGATCATATCACCGTCGTAGTAGTAGCGCAGGGCGCGCGACAGCTTCTCGTAGTTCATGGCGGGCTTGTTCTTCTTCTCGCCCCAGAGGCGGGCCACGCGATCGGGCTCGACAAGCTTGAACTCGCCCTCGGTGCCCACCCACTCGATGATGTCCGAGTGATCGCAGTCGGTGAGGATTTCGAGCAGGAATTGCCACAGCTGCACCTGGCCATTGTTCCCGGAGCCAACTGCGGTGTAATTTGTGGGGCTTTGTGGCGTTGGCGAACTGTCGGCTATAAAAGAGGGGGATCAATGGAAGGCCCTTGCTGGAGACTTATTCTACTCACAATCCGTACTCTTGACGCTCTGGTAGGACTTCCTCATGATCCGCTGTTCGAGGGACGTCGCAGAAGTCGCCGCCGTGCTGCTGGGAATCACGATCTTCGGTTGCTTGGGCTTCCGCAGCTCCTCGGCCTGTTTGTGAACGACGGACACAAAGTTGCACTCCTTGAGCAGCTGCAGGTGTGTCCAGAAAACATTGCCCGGATCGTGCGGCAGCTTCTGGCTGAACTCCTCGTGCGTCATGGCGCACAGCTCTTGTCCGTTGATCTGCCAGTCGCTCATGATGATGTCGTTCAGCTCGAACTGCTTCACGGCCCACTCCAGCCAGTGGCTCACATGGGCCGTGGTCCATTCGCTGGCCACCTCGGGGATATTCAGACGCGTCTGCTCCCGCTTGAACTTGCTGTCCAGCACCCAATTGAGCACGGGCTTCACACTCTTGACCGGCTCCACGGGCTCTTCTTCCGACTCCTCTTTGACCCTTTTGCGCTTGAGGCTCTCCGTTTTCACGGGACTAACGGTGGGCGAACTTTTGACGCTCAACGAATCGGGCGGCGAGAGCTGGGCCGTCACCGGCGAGATGGTTTCCTCTGGGCCCTGATCGGCCAGCGCGTCATCTGTGGGCTTCAGGACGTCCACTATGTTGATTCTTTTTTGTATGGTTTGGATTTGGACGTTGATCTGTACCAGGCCTTCGCCTTTAACGCACTGATCCACAAGGTTCTTGTGCGGTTCCAGCTGTAAGAATGAAAGAGTTTTAGAAGTGGAACCTCCCCGAGAGCTGCACTCACCTCTTGGGCATCCTGCAGCCAAAACGAATAGTAGTGCAGTTCCACGTCAATTTTGTCCTCAACAAGTTTTCTGTAACAGGAAGAAGAAGAGACGTTTTCGTCAGTGCTGTCCATGTGCTCGCCACAAAGGAGGTTCTGTTCTCTTACTTCAGCGCCGTCAGCGGCTCCCTGATATCCATGTGCACAACGATAATGTCGTCGGCATCCGCGAATTGCGTCTTCTCGAACATCTCGCTGTCGATCACCTCCTCTGCAATTAATTGTTTACGGCACAATTTGTTACAACAGGTGCGTCCGCATGGCGCAGCGATTTCCGCTGCTCTCCGACTTACCCAAGGTGCCGCCATCGCTCAGACGCCGCATCAGTTCGTCCGCGAGCACATTGGCGCCTTCCATTGCTTTGTTAATTGGATAATTATCGTTTATTTATTGTTTATTTATTTTTTTTATCTCGTAGGCAGTGTGACCGCGGACTTATCGATAAATAAGAAATATACCAAAATATACCAACTCATATGAAAATATACCGTAAACATACTGACGAAGTCAAGTTATATTTTACATATTCCTCGTTTTTGATATTCCGTCGAATATTACTAGCTATATAGAACATTTTGCCATGCCCACATAATTTTATCCGATTAATGAATTAATTTTCTACACAATTGGTTAGTTTTTAATCCTTGCTTTTATTGCATTTATTATAAAAAAAGTTTTAAACGAAAAAGTTAAACAAAAAAACAGTCGCTATGATGCGTGTAAGCCTTAGTATAGGTCTTTGTATACCCTATTTTGTCAATTTTATATGAAGGTATAAATATTGATATGAAGATAAAACGTGACGAATAAAGACCTTTTCTCAAATTGACATTTTTTAGACATATTCATGTATATTATGAGTGTTTTGTATATATATCTCGATCCTGATACCTATTCTTGGTCCCTGCAATAACAAAATAAGCTTAAAATATCGTTGAAATATGTTTAAAACAGAGACTAAATTGTTTTTGCCTTCTTTGGAGCCTGGGATGACTAACATATTCACAATTCTATAACATCCATTTCCCCCAGGGTATGTGATCATTGAATTAGCAACATTTGTGCATGGAATTAGCAACATTTGTGTATGGAATGGGACTCATTGTTGCAATAGCGAAACTGCGGCGAATCGGGTATTGCCTATATTTCAAGCTATATAGATTTGCCCACTTAGCTTTATCCCATAGATAAATGCATTTTCTACAAGATTGCTTCTTTTAATTACCTTTATGTATTTTATTTTGACCAAAAAACGGTTTTCAAGTAAATGTTGCAGCAACTTTTGTGTATGGAATGCGCAACATTTGTGTATGGAATGAGACTCATTGTTGCTAAAGCGAACTGGGGCGAACTGCGGCGAACAGCGGCGAATTCAAATTCCTCATATTCTTTGTTCCGTTGAATAATACCATCTATATGGAAGATTTAGCCATGCCCACTCAATTTAATACGATTGATGAATCAATTCTATACATGATTGGCCTATTCGAAATACTTGCATTTATTGGATTTCTATATAAAATTGAAAATTAAATTAATAGATTGAAGAAAATGGACAAAAATACCATGGGAGCGCGGCGAAAACCAGTATTTCTACAGTATGACCCTCAGAACAGCACCGAAATATACAAAATATACCGGTTGGTGCGCGCCAAATCTAACTTTTTTGAATGTGAGCGACAAGGAAGGATCGACAAGGATAATAGATTGATGAAATTGATAAAATTGATAAATATCTGATATCTAAAGATATTCATTAAAGGCATAAAAAAAGCGATCTCTGCCATTTATTTTTTGAATTGAGAAACCCACCTAAAATACCAAATTTGTAAATTCTAGGTTTGCTCAGAGTGTGTACAATACATGTAGAAGCACCACTGCGCACCAAAAACATACGCGTGGTGAAATTAGATGTGGCGCCACTAAAAAATGTCAAGTTCGATGCACATGTAGATGTACAATGTAGCAACATGATTTCGGTTGATTTTTAAATTCCGATAAAGCTTCGATCTAAGAGGTTATAAAAAGAGTGTTATTACAAGGGGAAACTAGAAGTTAATCTACCTAATTCTGATAGAAACAAACAGTTAAACCTTAATATATCTCCAAGGATCCCAAGCCCTGCTCAAAATTGAATACCTATTCTCCAAGATTATGCAAAACTATCCCTGAAAATATTGGGACTTTTTGTCAGAGTATTTATTCCGAGATATTCATGCAAATTTCAATCATCATTTGCACCAATTAATGTTTACGATTTTATTCGAATTTTAGGAATTGGCAGTATTCTGGTGTCGTTTCTGTTCACTAGAAAAGCCATCGAATTTAATTAAGGAATTCGCAACAATCAGATGGATACTCAAACGCCTAGCCCACTTCAGACTGAGTGGCTGTGGCTCCCCTCTCCCCGCCTTCTATGATATTTCGCAGCTTGAAGAGTGCGTGCTGCAGATACAAATGCCGATGTTTGTGTTGAAGCATTAAGGAAGTGTAGCACTATGCACCATTACAAGTGGGTTGGAGGGGGCAAAAGGGGCTCCCAACTTCTGTTAGTGCTGATTAAATGCCTCATAACTTGGTCGACAAAGGCAATCCAGTCAATCAGTCAGTGGGTCAGACGGTGGTACAAAGACTGGCAATTGTCTTATCAGCCCGGAGTCCAAGTGCACCGCTCACTTGTTAAAAACAAACGATTTTCCATGTTCCCACTGAGATACGAAAGTAAAGTCGAGTTACGCACTGGAACCCTGGAGTTTCGAGCAGGCATTACCTCATTGTTGACTCAGTTGTCCGATTGCGAGCGATATTTGCTTGCAAAATTCTAGCTAAATATTGTGCATGGGATGACAATGATAGACAGTCTGACTCTGTTACCGTTTCTCATTATGATTCAAGCTTGAGAAATTTCTGGAGGAGGGTCGATATATTCCCCGATTCCCCGCTAACCTTGCAACAGCCTGCCGCACACAGCCCCCAAAAGACCAAAAGACCAAAAGACCAATAAGGTGGTACGTACACACTCTGCTATGTATATTTGTTGACTAATATTTATTGGCCAGCGGACCAAATTCAAGAGTCAACATTTGACTGGGGCTTGTGCTGTGGTCACCATCTCCTGACTCATTTCCATTGTCATCTTTAAAGTGCTTAATATTAGTATGATTAATTATTATCCAAACAATTATTACTCATTTGTCTATGCAAATGAGGGGGCAATCTCTGTAAGATCTCGATCTATCTGCATTACATGTTGGGTAACTGACCTTTTGCTGAGCGGAGCACAAAAATTGTCTAGGTCAAGACCCCAGCTGCAGTGGTAACCGAAATTCGAGACCCACAAAAATGTATATCAATTACAGCCCAAAAGGCAAAAGGGGGAGGGTACAGCAATGACAACGTCGGAAGGAGACATAAAAACCGATACCATAAAACTATGCGCAGTCATTGTGGCGCCTCCAACCTAATAGGAAAACATATACCCGTAGCGTCTGGCAAGCAGCGCCGAAAAGAGCGTGGCGGCGGCACAAACAACCCCTTGGGGTGGCCACCGCCGCCGCAGGATTACGAGTATACGAGCCCCGGTGGCACATTCAACTCTATGCTGACTCTCCCCGCCACGAGAATTGCGTCACTGGCCGAATAGCCTGGGAATTAAATCAATAGGGACAACTCCCACACGGAGCGAGTGCTTAAGTGGAGCAAGTGGCTCGGTGCCGGGAACTCGAGGAATTTGCATTTTTCGTGGCCAATACACAAAGCATTGGCCAGTATTTGGGTCGGCGTCGTCAAAGGATTGCAAGGACATTTCAAAGGCGAGCGAAATGCGTTTGCCGCGAGCATAACTCAGCCGACTTGGCCATTTCCTTTTCGACTTCTCGCTTTCTGGCTTTCCATTTCATAATTTGTATTAATTAATTGGCATAGTTTTCTCTGGCCGTCGTCAAATGAATTATGGAGCCATTCGGGGACTACACCTACAAGAACAGCCTTCAGGCGAATTAGGGGCAGGATATGAACCCGTTTGCGTTTTGCCTCTTTTTTTATTGGTTTTTCGAGTAGCTTTGAATTATTTATTAGCCCGTTGAGGGCAGAGTGCAGTCACGTTATTGATGAACCGCCTAAGTGGTTGGAAAAGTACGTACGAATATCCTTGAGGCCACGATATGTACAAAGAGATACCAATTGTTAAAGAAACATTTCAAATGAATATTCCAGATAGCCTTTCTCTGATCTCCAGTTTTTGTTTCTTTAATTGCAAATATTTGCTCATCTTTTGGTCATTTCCGAAATTAAAAATACCCATTTCGTTTTTGAGTCATGCTTAGAGGGCCAGTGTCTTGAAAAAACTAATTATTATTCTGTGACTGTGTCAACAGTGGCCGAATATCAAACGGAAACACATGTAGAGATGATTTGCGTACAATTTAGGATTGTCCCAAGTGACTCAGCGCCATATGACACCATCAAAGCGAAGATTTGAAGGAAATTTGAAGAAGATTTGTGCAGGCTAGAAAGTTTATTGACTCTGATTTGGCTCTGATTCAGATAGCTGGCATGTTAAGCGATAAGATCAGAAAACGCTTCAGTTTGTTAGAAATCAAACTAAATTTAAAGACAACTATTATCCTTTGAGATTTATACGTATTTATATCTCACTGAAAATTTGGGTTACTATCATTGCACTTGGAATATTCTATCGAACTCAGACCCAAAGAATGGACATATTCATATTTTAGATATAACTGTAAGCTGGAATCCATAGAAGAAGCCTCCAACCTTCAGTAAATTGCCAAAGCAATCTTCAATATTTTTAAATTTGCAGTTCGTTGTAACCATAAGACATTAACCTGTTCTATATGATCTTAAGACCTTAGACCTTAGCCTATATATTCCTTATTCTATCATCCTCCATTGAGTTTGGAGTTTTCTATAAAATTGAAATAAAAGTACACTCCATACATCGTAATATAGGAGCTTGAAAGGTGCGGTAATACGCGTATATGTATACGATAGTCTCTATTCATATTATATTAAGATCTTACAGACGGTCTTAGAGTCGGTCTGGAGTACCACTGGCTGGTAGCATGTCTATGGAGGATTCGGAAGTACATGCCATCTGATTGAGCTCGTCAATGTTGCTGCACAATCGCTTCTGTGATGTATTCCGACCTGTCATCGCCTTAACTTGCAACTTCCTTTACCACCTTCTTGGCCATGTTTTTGGTACGTTTTTAAGTATTCTGGAGATCTCTTCTTGAGACACCTTTGATTCACCTGGCCTTTCTTTCGTTACAGAAACGATACGAGACCATAACGAATCTGCTGAAGCCGGCTACAGAGGAGACGCAGGGAAGCCTTGGTGTGGAGGCAACTCTGGATGCTGCTATCAGTCGAGGATACCTGCCTCGCAGCATTGGGTCGCTCGACACACGGATCTTAAGCATTAAAGGCTACAATGCTTCCCTAACCATTGCACTTGAAGCATGCACGCTCCATCGAACTGATAACAAGCCTCTGCGCCGACCGCAACATGTTCCATGTTCGATGTTCGAAAGCTCCCCGAACAGCTGTTTCCTCTCCGCCTCTGCCCGCGCGTGGCCTATGCAAATCGACTACCTACGCTGTGCACAGCCGGCTTTCATACGCCTCGTATGCCCATGCCCCGAGCCCGAGCCCGAACCCGAACCCGAACCGAACCCCCAAATGCTCGCACACGAGTTCGCTCTTGTGGAACGTACGCTCATGTCTGTTTCATGTTCAATATTGAAAAACAGTCCGCTGGCTCGATTTGAAACGCGAAGGTTGTTGACGGTGCGCGCGCGTTCTTGTGGTTGAATCGAAGTTCAAGTCGTTCGCGTAAAGAATACATTCAGTTTTGGCCAAAAGCGAAAAGCTAAGAGTGAACAGCGATTGTTCTAACGCTTATTTGATTAGGTACGCTGGTCTCTTTCGTCAGTTTGTTATCTGTGGTGCGTGCGTGTGCGTGTTCTTTATTTCTTCATATATTTTTGTTGTTGATGAGTGGGCGATATATAATTTTGTGTGGTGGGCGTTTTGTTTTGCCATTTGGGCAGCAGAATTCTGAACTGAGCTGAAAACTAGTTAGCCATGCGTGCTGGCCGACTCTGACCTGTTCCCTCCTCAATTCAATTTTCGAACAATAGAACGGATGGCGAAAAATTACAATATTAAACAGATTTTTCAACAAATATGCAGCACTGACATTGCCCCTGACGGCCCAGACATCAATAGGCGACAGCATTTATGTCCATAGTTGTTGTTGTTGTTGTTCCTGTGTGTGTTTTTTCCATCGATTTGCATTCATTTCCCCTTCGCATTCGCTCTAATCAAAACCCCGAGTCGAACACGCACGCACACGCACAGACATGCTATCAGCCACAATCACATCGCAGTGTAACGGGTGTTGTAAATCGAACAAAATTTAATTACAATTTTTCTTGTTTCAACAAAAACAGCTTGAAAGCAAGAAAAAAACCAACCCAAAAACTAATTTGATTGGAACAACAATTTCGAATACATTTTCCAAAAAGGTGAGTTGGCCAATCAATCGGTGGGGGGAGGGGGAGGGTTTGTGATTGAAATCGATTTGTGTGTTGAAAGCCGAGTGTGTGTGAGTGATGCATCCTCCAAAGGAAATTATTGATTTTACCGGAAATGTCCTTCGCCGAATGCACTGCAGAGCCGAAACGAGACCCGGCCCGGCTTCGCTTTACAGCAGCTGAAAAGGCCCAAGGACACCGGGGCTCGCTCTCATGGTGCAGTGCCACCCACCCACAGCTGAACAGCTGTTTTCAGATGTTTTCCCGATTGGGCGGCAACATTTTTTGGTTGCAGCAACTTTTGTTTTCAATTTCAATGCAACATCGAACAAGTGGCTGCCGGCCGGGGCGCCCCGTCTGTGCGGTGGCACGTGGGCTGAATGGGTTGTGTGGCATGTGTGGGTGTCGCAGAGCTGCACCACCTCCAATGCACTTCGGGCCCGCTTGGGGGAACCACTTGTTTGTTGGGGCATGTAATAGGCCTCTCAGGCATTGCCTCACAGCCAAGTGGAACGCTGCCATATGCCGGTCCCAGGCCTCCTGCAAATATGCCACAATATTCTCTATTTATGCGCCACCCCCACGCTCGTCTCGCATTTTTCCCATTAATTAACTTTCAATGCTGTCCATCTACAGTGATCCCTCACATTTCCGTTGTGCCTGGCTGTTCTGGCAGCCCGAGTTCCGCCTAGGGAGTGCTCACTGCAGTGCCCTGGGGTTACTCTCGTTTTAATTTAACACTAGAGCGATTTTCGCCGGCTTCCAGCTTATCAGATATCTGCCAGCATAGGCATATGCCACACTGTCATTAGATAGAGTCCCCCGATAAGGGGACTGCGCCAAAAAAAATGTAAGCCTACGAGGCTACGAATATCCGGTTCATTGTAATGGCGGGGGGAGAGACCTCCTCCTCCTCCTCCTCCTCCTCCTCCTCCTCCTCCTCCTCCTCTTATCTGTTTATTTGATTTTCCATGAGCTCATCGGCGGCTGCAATTCTTTCCGTTTTGCACCCAGGTAAACCCAAACGAAAGATCATATTTCCACATTTTGGGTTCTGTTTACCCGCTGGCGTTCCACCCCTCTGTAGTCTGCCCCTTTTGTGGCATCGATTTCACATTGAATTGGTCCCCTTTTTGGCGCGTGTTTTCAATTTATTTTAGTTGAATTGCCCATGGATGGTGTTTGTCTTTTTTATTTGGTTAAATTAAATATCCATTATGATTTTGAAACCCCTTTCTCGATTGTTATCGTGTGATTTGGTTTTCCTGTCGCTCTTCTATGGCTGCAGAGCGTGGAAATTTGCATAATTGCATTCATTATAGGGCCTCTCTCTGTCTCTTTGTGGTAGTGGGGACCCACCCATATTTGCCCCCCCTGGAGTGCCAGTTGATTGCAACGTTTTGTGGTTTCCTTAAGGGGGAGGGTTCGGTTTACCTTTTTGCGGTTTCGCTCTCGTTTGTTGGCACCTTGTAGGGGTTTAAGCTAAAGCGGTGAAAGGGTAGGGATGTGAAAGTCTAAGGGAGTATCCTTTTACAAAGGGAAGAGCCATATACCTGGAAGATTTATTACGGACAGGGTGAGACCTCTCCAGACCGTTCCATGCCACATTTATTGCACAATTCCACGCTTAATGTTGCCCTTTCGAAATTGTTGCCAGTTTTATATGCGTTTTGATAAGCACCAAATGATAATTGGTGGCGCTGCAACAATTAACTAAAGCAACAGCAGTTTTTATGATCTGAAGCGTGGAAAGAGAGCAAACAACACATAGAGAACTAGTGAGCGAAAGAGACAAGTATACACAAAACTATTTCAAGTGCAAACTGTGGCAAGACATTCCCCATTCCGCGCTCTCTCAACGTGTCTGCGTCTGTCTCTCGTTCTCCGAATGTATGGTGAAATTTCTATCTTTCTTCCACTTTTAATCTACAAATTCGAAAAACATGTGCAATATTTACAACAATAGCAACAGTGAAGAAAACGCATAAAAACGTTGAATTTTTGTTTGCCACCTTCAAGGTCACATCAGCAGCACATCAGCATCGTAAAAATTGTTGTCGTCCGACCCAAGAACAAAAAAAAAACATTTGTTTGCCATTAAGCTAAAAGTAAATATTAGCAGATATATATAGCTATATAATACCTATATAGACAGCGTTCTATATATACACAGACGCGAGAAATTGCAATGCGACCAGGCATATAATTGTACAGTGAAAGTTCTCTGAAAGGAAGAAGATCAGACCCAAAGGAGATCCTCTACAGAGATGTTCTTAACTTAACCGATCTATGCCAAAGTTTATAGTCTTATAAACTATATCTTAAACTCAAATATTAGGCCTCCCCTCGGGCGATTTGTCACTGTTTGAATACTAAACTTTTCGATGATGGAAAGGTAGACGAAAAATTCATTCATGCCTCGTCACATGATTGATAAGCCAGCCGGCCTCTGGGCCTCCCTCCTCCGGGGCTGATAGACTTTCTGTTAAATTCGTTCCGACTTGTGCTGCGAGCATTATGAATATTAATGTTTCGGTGACGTCAGCGATGCATCTGACAGATGACAAAACATCAGCCACTAGACAAATCAAATGCAAAAGCAGCAGCAGCAGTCGAGTGCAACAGAGCACTGAATGAAGATGAATGAATGGAAACAGGCACGAGTTCAAATTGTTACACTTTTGCTTGGTATACACTTTCCAGGGGGTGTTGTGGGTTTTTATGGAAAGAAGAGCGAGAGAGAAGTGTATGAAATAATGATTTTTTCTCCATTATAAAAAAGTTTTGGGTCGTCATCGTCGTGTATTTTACTCATATCGGCGTGAGCGAGCAAAGCGCGTGAGCCGGGGGTTGCTCCTTAGTACTTAGATATAATAGCAAATATTTTGGCTATGTTAAGATCCCACTAGATAAACCATTGTTGAAAAATCGGACTCTTAATAATTCTTTGCCAAAGCCCGATTTTTCCTTAACATAATCCAAAAATTTGGAATATTTATTCCTTATTCAAAACTGTAATACCATTAAAAATTGTAGAATAATATGTCTACCAAATCTGTTTAATGATTTAAGTTATTGTTGAAATATTTTATACAAGGATGTTGTCGGTTTAAAGATAATCCAATCACAATTCTGTATTCTATTATTCCGTCTTTCGGAATGATTTAATGATTAAGTGATTGTTCAAATGTTTTAGGAAAGTAAGATTGTTGTAGGTTTAAAGATAATCCAATCATTATTCTATCAACTATCATTCATTAGATCGCAACAAATCTTCCACTGAAAGGGTATTCCAAGCTGCGACTTCAGGGCCACCCTCTTTTTTTCCATATTCTTTCCATATTTTTCCATTGCATATTTCCGAAAAGCTGTCAACTCTCGCTGTCAGAGCCATTTGACATTTCCATTTAACTTAGTCAGCACCACACACACACACAAAGACACACCACACACCAGTACACACACACACACACACTAGTACACCCTTCCAAATTAAAACAGTAACAACCACCTGCAGCAGCACCCAGCGCGTAACTAATTTTCCCAGAGCGAGGCGGCTGGGGGAGGGGGGAATGAATTTCGCTTTCGACACGGCCAACAAATGCCGAAAAGTGCATGCCCCCACCGCCCCATCCCCTGCGTTACGTCCCTATCGGACGGAACTCATCAGCTGGCGGTCTGTCTTTCTGACGGTCCCTGAATGTTGGCCAAGGGGTCAAAAGCTCAGCAAATGACAAACATGCAATGGCGTTAAATTTTTATGCGTGTTGTGAAAAATATGACAAGGAGTTGAAGAGAGGGATATACACACGAGTATGGATAGGGGGCACAATGTTGCGCTGCAGTTGTGGGTGTGTCAACCGTTTGCTGGTCACGCAATGCAAAGGAAAATGAAGAATTTTCCAAAGATAGCAAACTGCTGCTCTTTTCGGTGTTGCCGTTGGCGGCCCTTTTAGCGGGGAGTTCTTTTGTATTTTATGGCATAATACCCCCCTGAATGGGGCAGGAGAAATGGTGGGCCTATGGTAGCAATGACATCAACTTTGCAGCACCCAAGGCCTTATCTCTTCCGACATCGCAATTTATTAGATTGTGTGCTCTTAAGTTTATCGCCCAAATTAAATATTTCCCTGTAAAAGATATGCCGTGTAATTGTTTGAGTGGCGAGATCTTAAGCAGAGAGATATCTAAAGGGGGAGCATGGGAAAGAGGAGTAGAAACAGTAGTCACATGAATGAATGAAATGAATCATATATGGTCGGTCAATAGTAATATCTTTATATCGATTGCAAGCCCCTTTTGCCCCCCTTTGGAGACCACAGTAACCTTGAAAAGATACCGTGTATCTATGTGGCCTACCAACCGACTTACGTCACTTGTCCACGACAGAAAACCAAACAAACAAATGTCCGGCTCTGACACTCCCCCCACTCTCCACTGAACGGACAAGTGACAACGTTGAATGTCACAGAGAGGCAGAGACAGAGGCAGGGAAAGAGACAGGGACAGACTCAATATGGCACAGGTCTCTCTCCCTCCCATTGACACGAAATTGGAGCGCACGCTTCATTTACCGAACGAACGGCGATAAAAAGAAAAATACAGCACAAATACGAATACAAAAAAATAAAATAAAATCAAATAGATATGGCAACAAACTTGGATGATTTACTGCACCTTCGATAGTGGCAATGGCAGGGCAGACGAACGTACAGACCTGTCGCTTGGCCAGTGGCCACTCATAAGATCACCTATAAAAATAGCCAACTAAAAGCCAACAAACGATCACCTAAGGTCGAAAGAAAAGCGCGGAAGAATGCGGCGAGCAAGAGCCATGGAATGGGGGGAACAAATATTTCTGAACAAATAAACTGAAATTAAATTAGATGTGAATTTGAATTCGAATTCGAAAGAATCGAGCATCCGATTCCAGCTGCGATTAAGTGCGAAAATTCTATTTTATTTTTGGTTAATTTTAACGATCAGAATGAAATTTACAAATTTTTCGTTCAATTAAATTGCCATTTCGCAGAGTAACTGAAACGAAAAGAGAGAAAGTGGTAGTCTACTTTGACATACCCTGCATCGAGAGGGGAACAAGAATTATTGATCTAATAATGGTATAAAAGACAGAGCGATTATGGCACCTGGGAGATCAGTAAAAGAAAGAACTATCTATCTTTTAGGTGGCGCATATCTTGGCATTTCTCGTGCAATAATTTAGTTGTTGAAAACATAAATATGAATGAAATTACCTATTACCAAATTTCCATAGAAATCAACCCACTGGGAAACCCATTAAAATATCTTTTGACGGCGAGTGCCGAAGGAACTTGCGAATTTCCATCACGTATTTAATTACCAATTCTTCCCAAATCTGCCCAGACCAAAGAAGTGGCTGCCGATGGGAGTGCGCTGAACTCGGGGCGTGACTCACGCAGAGGGTTCTGTGATGTAATTGGCGGTTTTATGGGGGCTGGAAGGGGGACTCGTAAAATTGATGTTCCCGTGAAGCAGTCGTAATATTTGGCATACGACACGTGCACTTGGCTCTGGCGCTTATTCTTATTAGCCATTCGGCGCCAAAACTATTGGCGGTCTCAAGTTTATGCTTTTTCCATTCCAATTTTTCCCCAAAAGATGATTGATCTCTTGGCTGTCGCTTAGGGGGATGCTGGGGCTGCGGCTGGGGCTGACGGTGACCCAGTTTCTTGTTATTTACTTTCAATAATATATCTATGAATATATTCGCGCCTCACAAAAGAACCAAAAATAAGCCACAGATACTCTGAGGAATGGCTGTGAGTAAATTATTCCGCCACCCATACAGAAGGCGCCGTCAGAAGAGTGACAACGATGACGTCGTCAGTTTCAGCACAAAAACAAAACAAAACAGAGAAAAAACTGGTGCTATTAATTTGAACCTACACCCCTTCGGTTATCGCCCTGCCGCTGCCTCTGGCTGTGCCCCTGCCACACATTCGATTGTATTGTTTGGCTGTGGGTCTCTCACTTAATTGGTTTTTGTGTGAAGCTGCTGAAGCCTAATGATCCGTCATCGGGTTGTACGTACACAGACGTATACGTATACGTAATATTGCAATCGCTGGCAAGTGCAGACAGTTCACGGTACGTCTGTGCCTCTATCTCTAGCTGGCAGGCATTGGTGGGCGTTTGTAACGCTCTGGAAATAATAATAGAGACAAAATGGTTATTACGACTGCCATAAAGATGGATAAATTACGTAGTGGTCATGGGAGCGACACTCGACATGAGTAATAATTTGCAATGCTAATTCGCATTTAAACCTGTCTTTGCCATAAAATACTTTTTGGTGGAACAGCTCTATAATTAATGCCAAATTTAGTTTTAGGGCTTAAGGGGTGCTTCAGGGAGGGACAGATCTTTAAGAAATAACACCATTCTTGGAGTACATTTTCTGGGAATTATTTTACCAATTCCCTGATTTTTTCTATCAACTCTAGACCAAGTCTATATCCATTCTAAAGTCTGCCATTACCCTCGTTTTTCTGCAGATTTCATATACACACTTCAGTCTTTCTGAATGAATTATGAATCATTATAGAATTCAAAGAAAATTTCCAAAGTTTAGCTTGGAAAACTATCCAAAATTCTACTTCAAATTTGTGCAGTTTCATTTAATTTTTGATGAATTATCCATCATTTATTCCAGAGTTTTTTGGTATAAAAAACTTTAACCTTTTGTTGTGGGAAATTATAATAATTAAACAAGTAATTGTCCCCAAATTGTGTGCAGATTTAACTGTCAGTCCAACCTTGTTGAAGGGTCAATGGTACAGATGTAACCCCTACCAATGCCAGGCCCAGCCCGTGTCATTGTCACCACGAGAGGGAGAGAGAACAACTCAAGACAAGGGCACCGTCAGCCCCGACAATTATATAATTACCGCTTTGTGTGTTGGCAATTAACTCGACACTCGTCGGAGGCAGTCCATCATCATCTATCCCTAACTCCAGTAGGGCTTTGATTGATGGCATCCCCCCCGAAGGCAATTGGAGATGCATCATCGAGAGTAGTCCCTCCGATGTTGGTTGTCCTTAACGTTCAATATTTACACTCGTTAAGCAATAAATGTATGGAATATCAATTGATCCAATTCATTGGATTGAAGGCTGTTTTCACAGATTTAAACCAATAAAATTCGATTTTAAATGCTTAATGTACTCCCTAATTGCAGCAACAAACCACAAGATAGGGTTAACAGGGAAGGAAGGGAGGGGGGAGAGATGGGGTGTTTGAGGAAGTGCGGGTCATGTCGGGTTCAATGATTATTAATCAAATGCCAGTTTAATTATGCGACTTGTTAGAGGCAGACAGACAGAGAGACAGACACTGTGTCTCTCATGTAATCATTCAGGGTCCCAAGCCCCTCCGTCGATCGGCGGTCTGCGGCTTCAATTAAAATTCGTTTCGCCGATCAAAAATGGAACCAACCACCAAAGTCCACCGAAAAATTGAAAGTTTACGAGTCTCTCTCTCTTCTCTTTCGTCTCTCTTGATATTTTGGCATAGGAATTGGAATTGGGTGTGCGTCGGGGCCCGTTCTTGGGGCCTAATCGAATGTCAAGTATGAATCCATTGATGACAGCGCAGACCATTCCCGTTTTTGATGGCGACAATTAAGGCATCTCTCACTCAGTCACTCTCTTCTTTTTTTTATTACTTAATATTGTATCTTTTATTTGTTTTCCGGCTTTGGTTCTCCTGCAGTTCGTTGTGTGCTCTGTTCGTTAGCGGTTCTACGGGGCTCATTAATCCCAAACTAGTAAGCTTTTAAAGCACTCTGTATCTCTGAAATACGATACGATGGCCTCCATATTCATTCGGTTTGTGGTTTTGACATTGAACTTGGCGCTTAATCATTGTCAAAACAGATTCGAAGATTGCCAATGCAAACAAAAACCAAGCCAAACAGGGGATGCATTCCGGCTATCAATAAACAAATGTTGTTTTCTCTTTTTTTTTTCGATCGTGTTTGCCTTTCAAATTAGCTTTCGATTTGCGGCCACAAAAATATTGACAAAGTGACATCATGAGCGACATAAACTACCTCTAGAAATGGTACAATTTATTGGCCAAAAGCTTTATTTAACAATAAATAAAACCGAAAATCATGAGCCAAAACGGAAATGAAGGAACTAAATGTTCCAAGACGTTCCAGAGACGTTGTGTTTTCATCTATTCTTAGACCAGAACGGAATCTGTGAAGAATTTCCAGAGTATTCCCAAAGAATGCCTAGGCAAACATCTCCCTGGGAGTGCCAGGGGTCAAGCCATGGATTCCATGGGATTGGATACGATTTATTTGCTTTGACCCCACCGTCAAGCTGGGGGTCAGCATTTATCTATGAACAATTTGGTGGAAGAGCATTTATTTATGATCGTTTTTTGATTCTTTTCCAACTGCTTGCAGGCCAAGGAAGCAAACAGCAACAGCCGCAATAAGTATTAAGAAGTGGAGGCCAATCCCCGAACCCCAGAGGGAAGACAAGCAAATAAGACAGCAAAAACAGCCAACGACAGGGGCCAAATGCAAATTCATAAGGAGAGGACCTGAACCTGAAGATACAACCTCCAGATAGAACACATTTCCGCACTGATACAGTGGGTCGAGAGCGGGAGAGACAGAGAGAGGAAGTGTTTGTTTATTGCAGCGACTCAACGACTGGAACCGAGAAGATCCATTCGCAAGATGCCCGGCCACTTACACGCCATACCGCATCTTTGAGACCCCAGTGGCATACCCCAAGCCACACACTCCGGCCTGCATGCGTTGCACACACACAATATTCCATCAGGCAGCAATATTTGGAGAGTGCCTTCGGTTGGTTGGGCAATCGCCAGATAAATTCTAATAAATAGCCAGACAACAGAATACTTGGCATAAAAATAAATAAGAATCGAAGAACGCGGAACGCGGAACGTGGAGAGCAGAACGCAGAACGAGCTACGGATTCGAACGCATTGCAACAGATTCATCTGAGGTGTCGAGTGCATTGCCCAGGCCAGACCAGGCCACGAAATCTTTGCGGCAACATAGACGTAGGTCGCGGCCAAAGTGTTGCAAGGCAGGGGCCTAGCCAGAGGCAACGGCAACCGCAGCGAGGTGTACACATTCGGCACCATGGAGGGCGGTTACGTCAATGAAGGTGAGTTGCATCTACATGCCACAAATGTATCTTTAAGATATCGAACAAGTCCATCTACCGAATGAATGCTTTTTCTTTGATGCAAATTACACCCAAAGCTATGGAATTTAGCCCACATTCCTGTGTTTGCTTTTGATATATTCTTCAAATGCATTTTATATATTTATAAAAATTTCCTAAAGGAATAAATAATCTCCTAATCTCTGCTTAAGATGGTTTATTTTATTTTTAAATATTTTTAGAGCGGAATCGTGTGAAAATATTCTATAATTCTCGTTTATTTGATTGGATTTTCTTACTTGTTTGTTCTGCAAATAGTTTGCTTAGTTTTTGAATTTCTGAAATCCCTCTTTGAAAGGGAGATCCCCTAATTTTCTTCCAAAGTAATTCAATACCCTTTTTCATCAGCCAATTATTCATAGCCATATTAGACCCACTATATAGGATATAGTTGGATGATCCATAAGCACTTGCATCATGCAATATAATTTCTCATTCATTTTGTGGCTTTTTGCATGCTCACCTCAACCAAAAATACACAATTCTCACACAATGCGAAAATTTGAAAATTCATTCAACAAGACATTCGAACAGATGTTTGTACAAAGTATTTGACTTTGAATTTCCCACTCACACACACACACACACGGAGAGAATTTGTGGCATGATCTGTTGAGAAAAACCTGCACAGTGACACCGAAAATATCTGCGATTTATTAGCAATGCAAATGCCAGAGAATTATTCAAACTGCCACTTCACCCATCCACCCATTAGTCAGACGCTATGAGGCAATGCATCCCCGATATAGTTTTGTGTTTTTTTTTTTGGCAAACATATGTATTCGAGTCCGTGACTGAGTCACACCAAACATCCCACTAAACACCCACTAAACACTCACTATTCTCCCCAACAATGCTCTCTCCAAAAACACACACACGCGCAGAGGATTCCGATGCCATAATGGGTGTGGAAAGTCCAGGTAAATGATCTCTACTATAATCGTACCCATAACCAGCACAAATATCGAATATGTATCGCAGGGAAATGGTGGGGGGAAAGGGAAAGGGCCCTCAACTTTGTGACACTCAATTAAAGGCTGAGAGTGCATTTGAGCGTGTATCTTTATGACTGGTTTCAGCTATCTGCCAGATACAAGCCGGTTCTACGCGCCCACATTCACAGACAAGTGGTTCTATCCCCCTTTTTGGGATCGATGGCAGATCGGTCGCTGACTCTCGCTGTATCTATGACGCCACAGAACATGTTCGGCTTTTGTCTTCCCATTTACATAAGAGGATTACCGAATGTAAATCACAGGCCATATATTCGATTCTAGATATCGGTATGCAAAATCCAAACAAAAACACAAAAAACAAATCGTTAAGTAGTCGATTCGCTGACAAGTCTGTTCCATAAAAGGCAAAACTGTCTGTCAGGGGACTGCTGATGCTGCCACGACCCAGTGGAAGGGGTTTTTCAATTAATATTCATTTGGAGGAAGGCAAAAACTGTCATAAATTATCAGCTTGCAGCAGCGTCTTCGAGCATGCCCCACGGCAGGCATTGAAAAGTGCAAGGCGGGCATCAGCCAGAGAGATATTTTTTGGGGCAAGCTGATGATGTCATCTGCAACGCCAGCGCTTAAAAGGATCCGCCCTGATCACGTTTCCAGCAAAAAGCCACAAAATGATAATAAATTTTGCTGTTGAGTCGAAGCCATGAATTTGATTCCAGGAATTCTGCCGAGTGCCAGACAAAAATCACAATAAATACATATATCTTTCCTGCCACTGGCCCTGGCCCTGGCCTTAGGATCGGGCTCTCATTCCTTGTGTCTGTCAGAAGATCTCTCTCTTTCTGCTCTGCTCTGTTTGTGGATCGTTTGTTTGTGGAATTCACAAGAATTTATTTGCCTTAATTTGAAAAAGAAAACACACTTCGCAGCTGTGAAAATACATTGTCTTACAGCCAAACCCCAAGTGCGCGCCATCATATTGTAGTTAAACACTTTTTAATGCCGGTATTTATCGCCGAAAAATGTAATTAAAAATAATAATAAAATCTACAGGGTAGACAAATCAGGCACTGAATTAGTGGACATGCTTGGGTTCGCTTTCCGATTGACCTTGCCAGGGCTATGACCCATACATTTTTCCCTGCATGTGTCTCTATTTCTTCATAGTTCATAGTTTTTTGTACAGGCCGAGCAAACAATGACGACAGCAAACTAGGCGAAAATTTATGACCAACAGTTGTTGGATTTATATGCAAAATGCTGGGAGATAAAGGGCATATATATTATGGGAGAAGTTTGTCTGGAAGCAAGGAGAGAAACACCCCTTAAAGATAGAGAAGTCTCTTAAAGATAGTTAGTCGTTTTAGAGGGAGGAATGAGATGATCTTAAGAGTGTTTATATCAGGTTATTCCCAAAGTTGTGCCTCAAAAGTACCTTGATCTCGATCCCAGATCATATCCCGCCGCTGGCAATCCCTTTACAGGGTATCCGAGCCACGACTCTCCCCAGTGTTGACCTTCCATTCAAGTGCTCCCATTTGTGTTTGGTCTTCAACTTGACCTCTCCCAACACACCATTTGGGCAAGAACTAGACGCCCATTTGCATACATAATGGGACTTGATAAGCTATCGGGATTTGCATAAACCTCGTGAAGAAGACGTGGAATGAAGGCGTTAAGCCCAACACCTCTTGCTTATGACAGATTCTATAAAGAGATACACATTAAGAGATATGAAAACGAGTTGGACTTGTCGCCGAGCAGCTTTTCGTTTAAGTATCTCATTCTGTGAGTGAGGTGTTCAATTACATGACATGGAAAATGCATCTGAAGTTGCTCAATTTTCGGTTCAATGTCGGAATGTCTGGGACATTCGATACGACGAGATACTCGTACTAAGCCGAAGATCGATGGCTAAAAGGTTCTCCAAGTCATTCGAATCGATTGACACAATTCCTTGGGCAGTCAATGGAAATAAATGGTTTGTCAATCTATTTTTCTACCTACTGGCCGCATTTCCCTCAAATGTCAGTTTTCATTGCCAGCCGCTTGGCAATTTCATTTCCATTTAGATTTTCTTTTCTATTTTCTATTTTCCCCTCCATTTGTGGTCCAAGTTCAGGCGGGAATCGTTTCCAGCCAATTGCCCAGGCCATTGATCAAGTGCATTAAGAGGAACACGTGATTTGCATTTAAATTGTTTTTTGGCTTTGACTTTGGCCAACAACTGTGGTGCATATCTCTCGGCCAATTCTGCAAATACTCGTATGCTGGCTGCCCGATTATTTGCATCGGCGTCTTGCCGGTTTGACTCCGGGCATGCCTCAGAAACGATTACGATTGCCGCTGCCGCCGCCAATCATCGAGTCATGGAAATGACGTCAGCTGCCGCTGGACTGCCGCTGGACTGGCGCTGCCCTGGTGCTCTTGTGCATACAATTAAAATCAATTTGCAGTAGCGCCAATTGCTGTTGACATATTTTATCTAAGGCGTTTCAAACCCGATTCGAAAGAGAGAACACTGGGTAATCGCTTAGATGGCTAGGCATTGTTTTTGAGCGCATGCGCAGCGTACTTGGGTGGCAGTGTTGACAGTTTTCACTGGGGCAGTGTTGCCAAACTTCTATAAGAGAAAGGTTTAGTGGATGGTCTTTGGATTGGTCCTATTTTCTAAATAAATTCCATAAAATAAATGTGAAGAAAATTACTTCAAACTCCGGGGACCGTCAGTAAGAGTTATGGATGCAAATTTTACCTGAATAAATGCAAATACATAGAATGCACCAAAATCCATATTTCAATCATATTTAGCGATATTGGAAAAACGTATACTACCCAACTTTTATTGAAATGATCAAAAATTACACATTTTCCTGATTTATTTAATTTAAAATTGGAAAATAATTAGACTGCAATTTTGATTGTAAAACTTATAGCTGCCCTGAATCTGACGATTATACATATTTTTTCTGACACTCAATTATCCATCTACGATTCGTTTCATGTATCTTGAGCGAATGCCATGAATAACTTTAGCAACTTTTAGTTGATTTAATCTCATTTAAGACCAACTGCCCTGTCAAATCCTGGTCGAGTTTGAGGCACATTATTTCTCGGCTTTATCTGCAATAATAAAATTAAATAATTTATTTTAATGGTCAGCAGCCATATTAAATGAGGCTAAGTGATTTTCGTTGTAGACTTCAAGCCGCAAAGCGAAGCGGGCATGCAAAAATCTGGCGCTGTTTTGTAACGAAAATTAGCTGAAATTGCAGCCAGCACAAAAGACCAGCGGCAGTTCGTGATTTAGCCACCGTCACCGTCACCGTCGCCGTCATTGGGAATGCATCAAAGTAAACGGCTCTGCAGGCGAAAGATGGTATCCGATTGGGACTGGGACGGTGACTGGAAGGGGGACTGGGGGGCACCGCTCCTGGAACTCGCCGGCACGTATTTGAAGCGCTTAGATGGCTTTAGATGGCCGCTTAGTAGTTGGATAGATTGTCGCGGGCCCCTTGGCACCTGAGCTGCATAGGACTTATGGGGGCCCCTAGAACGTGGCTCACATTCGTCATAATGCGGAACAGCTGCCAGTCCCTGTGCTGCGCCTTGTTGTAGATACAATTTGCAGATAAAAACGTCGTTTCATTGGTCTTTATATCAGATTTATGGGCACTATTAAGGCATATCCCTGCTCCGATCTGAGTGGAGGCTGTCCACCCACACACAACTCATAATTGAAACACTCGAAACTCGCATAATTGGCGCACGCAGGCTTAGACCCCAAATTGGCAAGAGCGGAAATGTTGACCCCTTCGTAATTAATCAATTTTCATAATGAAAACGGACCTTGGGGGCTGTGTGCGATGGCGTGGGCCCTCGGGCCTGGCCCGAGCTCTCAAGAGGGTTTGAGGTGTTGCCGGCTTCATTAAACACAAATTAGCCGTGGATTCAATCTCCTGAAGGCAGCAGATAAATGGCAGAGATACATCACACTACAAGAGGCCACCAGATCACAAGATCTAAAGAATTCGGGTCTAGTTCTTGGAAGCCACTTTCCGATTAGCCATTAGCCAGGTCTTCAGATCCTCAGCCACTATTTCTGACAGGCGATTATAAATAAAATGTTTCGAAAATACTTTCACAAAAGAAGGCGTGAGGCGTGACAATGTCAAAGCCAACAGCCGAGTGAAAATGAGAGCAGGAAAATAATTTGGCAGCGAGCCAAAAACAGCGGCCGATTAAACGAGACCCCATAAAAAATGGAAACTACGAAAAAAACAAGAGTCAAAAACTGAATGTTGGGCCATAATTTTGTATGCGAATAGTTCCTGCCTACCAAAGTAAACAATAATTTAGGAATATACATATACACGTATATAATTATATTCCCGTATAGATGGCAAATAATGGGTTGTCTATGGCGACAGTTTAATGCCCATCAAGGCCGACAGAGTGAGAAAAAATCCGAACAGAAAGAGTATACCTATTTAATTATATGAAATTATGGTTTATGGGCATTACACCCCCCTGGCTGGGGCCTGCTTACGTGCCAATTTATTTAATCATTTGGTGGGGTTGTGGGGTTGGGCCCGCCAGATATTCCACTTTCGATAAGACCCAAGAAAAGGTATATGTTTGCTGCATATTAAGTGGAATAGGACACCCATAAAGAACTCAAAAGTGTGCATACCCCCATTGAGAGTTTTCCCCTTGAACGCTTCACGGATTGCAACATTTCAATTTTCATTGTAAAGTGGCCTTTTATTGTTAATAAATGAATGAATGAACGAATGAATGAATTTCTGTCGACTGTCGCAAAAGTGCGACAAATTGTAAAGCGCTTAAGTTGTTTCCAAGCAATTTACTCAACAAATCAGAAACTCATCAAAATCGTTGCATGCCATACAACAGTCAACAAAAAATTAGGAAAAACGCAGACGCTTTTTTTTCTTGTTAATTGT